TATTTAGTTTATTGTCTATGTAAATCTCATGAGCAAGCTCGTGAGATAAAAATAAAAAATGGCGTATGAAAACAAATGTCATTTAAAAAATTACTTTCTTGGATCCGTGCTGTAAAACAATGTTGAAATTATTTGTAAATGCCTCACAAAATCTTATATTAAAGTTCTAAGAAATTTTATAGAAACTCTTTAAATGAAGATACTACCTTAAGGAACTCTTTTTACCACCTTAACAAGAATATAATAAAATTATTTTATCTTCAATTAGGAAACCTCCTAGTCTCTAAATCAATAAAAAAATTTAGACTAAGTGCAGATCTAATCTAACCCCACTTTCTACTTTTAATAATTATTATAATTGTGCGTTTTATGTATTGTTTAAGAAACAAAATTATGCGTTGAAGATAAAATGTTGTATGCCATGGGCTGTGAAGTGTCTTTTTGTGCTTCGCTCAATTGTAGGCCTCCGCTAGGCGTCTGCATTTAAGCTTTTAGTCACTTTTCAGCCTTATGACATAAATAAGTATTTTTTGTTTTTGCCTTTTTTCGAGAGGTAAGCCAGTATAAAACAGCAAGACAACGATCAGCGTTATATGGAGGCTGTGCTCTGATTTTTTCTTATCCGACGCTTTTCGATAAGGATCCCATCCTCATTTATAATAAATTTCTCTTAGCGACGCGTTATCTATGTCTACCCTTGTTATTATTTTCCTTAGCCGTTAATTTTTATATATAAAAATCGTATACGATTTTTAATTTTTTTAAATCAGTCGCTCTTTTTTTGGCCAATTCACTGCCAATATATAATTACACAGGTCTGCGATGAAAAGGTTTTTTGAATATTTTCATAAAACGTTTGAACTACGCATACCAAATATAAGCCTTGTTTTAACGGATTACGTCACATTTTTTTTATTTTCATATATGGGGGACACTTTACAAGATGGATAAAAAGTACATACATACAATATTTATATATTGTTTGTAATATAGATAAGCCTTTTAAAACCATTAAAATAAATTTAAAATATATTAATTTTAAAGCAATTCATTTATTAGTTTTTTAGGACGTTTACATCATTTATTTTAATTATATAGTCTATATTTATATTATGAGTCTATCCCCAATCAGTGTTGAAGAAATAATTTAATTAAAGTGAGGTTGGATCGGTCTAAAAGTTGTTAGATAATAAACACATAGATGGCGCCACCAGTGTTTATTCCGTCATCCGATGATAGAATAATTCATTTGGTAACACTTTAAGGAATATATGTAATTCCTCATTAAAAAAAACATTGTGTCATCTGAGTGTGGTATATGTGATGTGGTGTATATCATGTATATTGTTTTATATTACTTTTAAGGCAATTATAACGAATATTGGTATTTAAAAAAAATTATTTCTAAGACCTGTTTTATAAGTAATTTGTCAGATAACTTGTAAATAAGTATAAGTATGTTACAATTTTCTCTATCTCTCATTTTGGAACACAGTTTTGTTTTTATTTATGGATTTTATGACATTCCATTCCATATTTTTTAATTTTTCTTTACATTGAAATAATTGTTTCTATTGTATTGTGTACAATATAATATATATAATATATATGTATAATATATTATACAATTTTATTTAACAAGGATTATTTAACTGACATACTATTCGCAAAATGAAAACAATTGTTCCTATTTTTCAATACGGCTTTTAAATAAACTTTTAATGTTTTCTTTAAAAGAAATTTGAAATAAAATATAAACCTCTGTAAATTGAAAACGGTAAAAAATATGTGGTAGATTATCATAGCTAATATACGGTTTGTTGACCAGTGTTTTATAATCGAGGTACATTGCATCCTAAATATAATTTATTGTCAACTAAATGAAAATTAATTAAAATTTTAATTCGGTAATTAATTATTTTTGTAACGGTTGCTTATGGTTATATATGGGAATATGAAAGACCTAAATAAAATCACTATTTATGTAAATTAGTGGACATTATATTTTCAGGTATTAATTAGACCTTTTTTTATAACAAAGTGTGCTATAAAAATGTTTCAAAAAGGAAGTAAATAATATATAATAAATAGCAAACCAAATCCAAAAACAACTTTCAACTAAATTATGCAAATGTTGCTAACAAATATTAAATAATATTCAGGTCAAAACATTTTTTAAATTAATTAATAACACCTAGCGAGTCAAATAGCTGAATAGTTGTTTGCTATGCAATAAAAATATTTCCAGGCTCAATAATATAAAGTTCTAACGTACTTAAGGATGGCCTTTCTATTGCACTTATGTAGATCGTTAAAATTGCTGTTTTCTTGTTTACATAACGGTCGCAATGGCATTGTAAAAATTTGATAATATTGACCCTGTTCCACTCTATCTAATTAACGACATTCCAATAAAAAGTTATGCGTTTGCGATTTAAACTATCGACAAAGGCTGTTTGTTCAGAACTAATCGGTTAATTTTAACACTGCATATTTATATCTTTATATTGTTTCCCACTAAAGAATAGGCCAGTAGAAAATGACAAGAGTTAAAATGATTTGTAAAATGATAAAAATTGATTTTAATGTTTACATTAATTATGATAAAAAAAGAGATACAATTGAAATTCTGACAAAATGTCAATCTTTAACATACAGTGTGGAACTCACTTAAAACTTAGTTTTTTATTCCAAATCTTATAATGATAATTTTAAATTTAATGTCCCCACCATGTTCCCCCCCCGCACGTTAGGCACCCTTATCTTAAATAATAACCCCACTTTTTTTCATCGAAAATTGATAGTGCACATTTTTTTGAGTACGACGATACCACATAAGTAGGGTTTAGTAACCATAATTTTCAATACAGGGTGAATATTTAAAAATTACAAGTATGAATTTTTTATTGTTATTATAGTTTCTTGTGTTGTGGCTTTCGATATTTAGATATTCATGTTTTCTCGCTTTGTTATTGTTTTTGTTAATGCCATTTTTTACGTTTGTCCTTTTTGCATTGTTTACATTTTTTGCATTGTTTAAATTTTTATTATTAATGAAACATTTTGCGCTTTACTTATTGAAGTATTTTGTTAGGTCCATGTATCAGTTAATATTTTAGTTAAAAAATGCGACACTTGAAAGAAACTCTGCGAATAGAAATATTAATGATGATTGGTTACGGTGATATGTGCAGATCACAACAGCAAGTTGCAAACCTTTTTAATGGAAAATACCCAGATTTACCACCACTTTCTCAGGCAACTGTATCTAAAATACATGCACAATTTCGTGAATATAGACACGTTAAACCAGATCCAACAACTTCTACGCGTCAGGTTGCACGTGAAAACGACGTTTTAAGATGTTTAAAAGCCGAAAAAATGCATCCATATAAACTACAACACGTACAAGAATTGATTGATGGTGATTCTGATAGAAGATTACAATTTTGCGAGCAAATGCTGCATATGTTAAACATGAATGTTATTTCTTTTGCAGATATTCTTTTTTCCGATGAATCAACATTTCTATTAAATGGCGAGGAAATTGCAGGTACTGGGCAGAAGAAAATCCCCACTGGATGCGACAAAGTCATACCCAACGTCCTCAGAAAATCAACGTTTGGGCTGGTATTGTTGGTGATCATGTGGTGGGACCTATTTTCATTGAAATTTCTAACGGGGCAAGATATCTGGATATGTTAAGAGAACAAGTTGTCCCAACTTTAGCAGAGTTGTTTCCAAATCCATTGGAACCTAATCTTCCCAATAAAAGGATATGGCTTAAACAAGACGGTGCCCCACCCCACTATGCTCTTCCTGTACGGAATTATTTAAATGAAGAAGAGGTTTTATAGAATGGCCAGCAAGATCACCGGACCTCTAGACTTTTTTCTATGGGGATATCTAAAAAACAGGGTGTTTAAAACTCAACCTGCTAATTTAGATGAATTAAGAAACAGAATTACTGGAGAAATTTGGAACATAACACCGGAGGTTTTAAACAGAGTGCGGGAACAATTTCACAGTAGATTACTAAAGTGTCAGGAAGTGGACGGGGGACATTTTGAACATTTATAAGATTGAAGAACAGTTTATTTTTGAATTTTTAATTAATTTTAAAATAAAAAGTTTAGTTTTTTTAATTTGTCATTATATTTCCACCCTGTATTGAAAACTGTTTACTAAACCCTACTTATATGGTATCGTCATACTCAAAAAAATGTGCACTATCAATTTTCGATGAAAAAAAGTGGGGTTGTTATTTAAGATAAGGGTGCCTAATGTGCGAGAAGGGAAATGGTGGGGGCATAAAATTTAAAATTATCATTATAAGATTTGGAATAAAAAACTAAAGTTTACGTGTCCGAGCGTTTCTGTATATTGAAGATCAATGTTGATAGTGATTTGTGAATGCACTACTACAGCTCCGTAATACAAAGTCTCTTTTTGTTTTTAAATTACTTTCAGGGAATTTAGAAAATTCTTATTAAATTACATTTATTTTTAGTCAGTGACACAGTGAACAAAAAAGTAGTCCATTTTTTATGACAGTCACGCTTTATAGCTTAAACAGCAAAATGTATTAATTAATTAACTCACTGTATATAATTGCAAAAATACCGTTAAAAATATCTACAGAAAATATCCTAATTGATTGTTAAACCCACTATGTTTTAAATTAATTAAGAAAAATAACTTTAAATGGATACAATTTTGTGTAAATAAATGTTATGATTACATACAAAATGAATCTTTTATATTAATGGCTCGTGATGAAATATGTTGATGTTTATAACTGTTTAGTACGAATATTTTGCCAGGTAATAAATTAACTCTAAATGGAATATCAACTTATAATATATAATTAGTCTAAAAATGTACTGTAATTTATTTTAAAATCATCCAGATCATTTTAAACTTATAAATAAGTAATATAAATTGGAGATCCCAACAGGCAATAAAACGACGAACCTTTTTAAAATATTAAAAAGACTTACCTCTTTAAGTCCATCCAATCTCCCCAAACTTCTGGCTTGTCGCAGTCCATTTTCCAGGACTCTTCGTCCTTTTTTTCTCCTTTCCAGTAATCTGGGCTTCCTGGGGGTCATAACGGGCTCATGGTCCTCGGGGTCCGAATGGACTTCAGGGCAATGATATGTGTGGCGTCTTCTTGCCGAAGGACTTGTTATCCTTGTTAGTAATTGATCGAACATTGTGGAAATTTGTTCTGATTTTAAGTTAAAAAATCATTATTTTTGTAACCCTGAAATAAAAGATATTAATATGGTTTATAAGAAACGTGTGTGTATAACATATAAGGCAAATAACGGTTTTATAATTTTCACGTTTTTTATTATAGTAATTGTAACATAATTATTAAATTATAAACTTGTACTATTACAAAATAATTTTTCTAGAAAATATCTTGCAGGCAAAATGCGTTTCACAATAAAACATACAGTAATGTGGTCAGTGAGAAATTCCTTGAAATCAACAACTATCCGAATAAGTTATAGTAAAGATATTTTGATCAAATAAAAACAGTTACGAAACATAATACAATTTTTCTAAATGCATTTGTCTTAAATTTAATGTTTTTACTCGATTATTAGTTATTCAAAACTGAACTTGTACTTAATATCTTTATTGAAATTGAGATGTTCATTATGATTAAAATCTGACAAAAAACCATTTTTTATTTATAATTATGTTTTAAATTTAAAATTTATTTTCCAGGCGTTTTTTTTTCGTGAACGCACCAAAACATTTTTAAGCATTTTGCTCCATCATTTGACATGTTACCATAAAATAAATATTTCTCGAAAACTACTTATACTAAAAAAGATAATAAAACATAAACACAAGTATAAATAAGTTTTGTTCTGGAAATTAAAAGAAAACTTGCTCAAAGAACTCATACAGTAGATGGTCTATCAGCTAAAAAATAATTAAATCCATACCATTCCATTAAGAAAACAAAATCATAAAACTGTTTATTTTCTAATTAAAACAATTTAGAATGCAATTTTCATTTTAATTAACTGATAGGATCGTCCGCAATTGTTTATAAAACGAGTTGCAGAATACAAACTAATAAAAATTATCGCAGAGTGCTTCTTCTGATCAAGCGTGTGTACATATGAGTTAATTGAATCGCATTTGTTTTGAATATCTGATAGTTAAGAACAGTTTGTAATTGAAAGTGAACTGAGAAATATTATTTAATTAACAAGGCAAAATACCTATAAGGCACATAGATGTGAGAACTTATTTAAACTCAACACACTGCACTGGATCAAATTTGTTGTTTTTTATGGATTACAATTATCTAGAAGTACGTATATTTTCACCTTTGTTTAACCTAAAAACTACCGTTAGTTGCATGATCTCCTTGAAAATTACAATTACATGACAAATTTGCCGTAGGTAATTAATTTAATTATTATAAGTATTTCTTACTAAATAATTTTGATGTCTTAGTTGTTAGTTAGTCATAGTGCAGTTTTGCAGTAATTCATTTAAACTAATTACTGAAAATGTTACCCACATTAAAAAAAGTAGTAAAACATGTTTGGCAGTATTTTATAATTTTCATTGTTAATGTGACAAAAAAAATTTCTTAATTAACAGTTTTGTCGGCATTGTTTTGAAATATAAAAAGATTACATACTTAAATGTTTGTGTAAATAATGTAGTGTTTAAGAAAAGCCAAAAAGTAAAAAATTAAAATACCAACTAAAATATTTATATTTTATTACTACCGTTAAACCAGAAAATGTCAAGTATTTTGGCTATAATCATCCTAAAACGGCATTAGAAATTTCGAAAATGAACCAAAATTGTCTTAGAGCTGTCCAAAAACCTAAATTTTATACTGTGTAATATGATCCAAAACGGTCCTAAAACTGTTTTAATGTCACAAAACATTAAATATTGAAATTAAATTATATATTGAATATTAAACCATAAATATTGAACATTGAAGAAATTAAAAGTTTTATTAAGGTTTAAAAAAATTATGGCTCCTTCTTTGTTTTATGTTGCTTTCGTATTCCGTTTCTGGTGAAAACGTTCTCCGTGTTCATCACTTACGTCGCCCAGATTGTGCGGGTTATTTACGCACTCGAACTTTCTACTTATTTTACTCATTTTACACTTTTTATTAACTAAATAAAACCATGATAAAAATCTCTTCTTGAAATATCAGTAAAATGTCACTATTCCAACACGAGAAAAAAAATAATTCACGTTTGCGGAGTTATGTCAAATTTAAATTTTGAATAATGGTATCGGTAAAAAAATTCATTAAAGACTAAACATATTACAAAATAAAAGAAATAAAATGAAATAAAAATCGTTAAAATCCTAAATTTTGGTCTTCCACTAAAAAATTCGTAAATTCGCCATTACCTTGTTTTTTTTTGTAAAATGTCAGCTTCACTTCAATTTTGGACCTCAATTTTTGCCATAAAAACGAATTTTTTAAGTTATTAAAATCGCTAGCGTCAAAATACTTATCAGATATCAAAAGTATGTAAAATAAAGTTTTAGAGGGCTCAAATGCCTTCAATTTAAGGGCTTGGTTGAACAAATCGATTAATTAGATTTTAAGCTATACTCAAAAACGTCAAAACAACTCCGAAAATTAAAAAAAAAACAATTGAAAATTCATATTTCAAAAACGCTTCCAAAAAATTGAGTGTGATTTTCGTGTTTAGTGGGTCAAAATACATGGGAAAATTATAATGGGATATGGTGGGCAGAATTTTTTTTCGATTTTGTAAACTGGTGTTATTAGTTTTTTTACTCAGCAAAATAAAAGCTTTAATGTAAAAAAGTATATATTCTATACTATAAAAGATGGTATATATTAATGCACTATTTTAGTTATTTACATTTGAAATTGAAATCTGGTGATTGAGATAAGGTGAATACAACATTTTTCTACAACTTTGAAAAAATAATTTCCCAATGTTACACTTCCGCACTTCGTCAAGTTAAAAAATACATTCGCTCATATCAATAAAAAAAATCACAACTTTTTTAACAGTTGTTAAAAAACTTAATTTTTTAATGTTTAACTTTAACATAAAAACCTTAAATATAAAAAAACATATTAAAATAGCTAATTTTATATTTCTGTTTTTATTCTCTGTTTACAAAAATTTAATCATCTAAAATATTAAGAGAAGTGAACGCCTCATATAATATAAATATCATTGCTGTTAAAATACGTTGAGATATGTTACATTGTAGTGTCGTTAATTTGAATTTTAAATCTGGCAAGGAACGTGAGATTTTTACATGTAAAGTCATTGCGATGCACGGACGGCCGCGGCCGGGAGGAAAATTTATTTAAATCTAATGCCATATTCGTCGCCAATGACTCCACCGATATCTACAAATCGTTGACAAATGCCCAGCGCAATAAAAGCGCATTTAAATAAACGCTTCACCTCCGAACAGCAAAGGCAATTTTGAAACGTCCTTATTTAAAGTATTGTTTACTGGGTTAATATTTGTTGTCATTGTTAAATTAAACCTTCGACAAAAAGTCTTGTTTATAAGAAAAGTTAGGTATAATTATTTTATTATTATTATTTAACTTTAAGCACAGATTTATAATCATATTTAAATAAATAGGTAGTTTTTTTACAAAAGAGAGGAAGGCAGAAGTCTTACTCGACAAATGTTGTTCAATTTCACAGCTAAATCGCGCACGTTATTTGTGTTTTACGTTGCAAGGAAAAAATTAAAATACTTTTTTATTACTCGGTTTTGATTGATTATTCCTTATATCATTGATTAAGAAACTAGTTAGTTACGTTAGTGTGTGTATTTTATCAAAGGGATCATGGTGAATTATTGTGGTTATAATTGTAAATAAAATTCAAGAACTAAATCATTTTTAAGTTTTGCCAAAGGATCCAATTTGGTAAGTACATTTGTTGATGCACAATTAAGTAATGATAACTTTACCTTAATTAATTAATATTTAAGTTTGGACATTTTTAAGAAATTAGTTAATAATATTTTTTGCAGAAACATAACCTTAAAATCAACCATTTTTATATTTGAGTTCTCTAAAACATGCCGACAACTTCATTTTAAACAACAAAATATACCTACGAATTCATGACAACATAATATTATATATAATACATAATAATAATGGTATTTTACCGTTGAGTGGAGACTTTCTTAATCAACGCTTTTAATAATGCTAAATGCTGTTTAAATTTAGACGACTTATTTGTTTGACGATTTTTACAGAATTGACATGTTTACACTTTTCACGTTAATCACTACTAAAATGTGTATTTATTGTATCTAATAGGTACTATTTAAATTTACAAAGAATGTATGCAATTTATTTCTTCATTTAGATTAACACTGTTTATTGGAAGAAAGAAAATATATATATACAGGGTGTTATGTAATTAATGTTATATATTAAAATACTGAAAACCTTTTGACATAAGGAATAAAGGAAAAATATTTTAAAAGGCATTTTTCCAAAGATAAAGAAAAAATATGCATTAGAAGTTTTTTATATTTTTTGTGATACGCCACTGGTTACACACTTGTTTATCTCTGCACACCTGTATTTTGTGAGTACATAGATACCAACCAACAAAGTAGCTATGCGTTGCCAGATATAAAAAATTGTTACTAAAAATTTTTCTTGCAAAAAATAAATAAAAACTCAATAAATACAAAAGTTTTATGCCCTTAAAGCTCTAATACCCTTCTGTATTTATTTACTGATCCAGCTATTAGCTTAAGCAATGATTAGAAAATTTAGTACCTTTGAAATGTGAAATCCATAACCACAAAATTAATTTTTTCATCAGTTTTTTTCTCTGTTTACTCAGATGAAATTGGGACCAGTTCACAGGTTAAACTTTAAACATTTAATTTGTGTAAATAAATCCAAAAGCACTTCCCTTAGTTAAGATATTTACAATTTGAAAACATAACCTAAAATTTAAAAGAAATGCACTAGATTCTGTCATAAAAGTTGGCAGATTTTGTTTGAATTTACCTTCAGTACAAAAATGAAATAACCAACAATTAATAAAAACGCCAAATTGACAATTTGCATTGTTAATTTTGCCATTTTTGTAATTAAGCTAAATTTTAATAATGTTTGTCAACTTTTTTGAGAGATTTTGGTAAAACTGTTGTTACCAACCATAACATAATAAATCCACCAGATTAACCTAAAGTTCCTAGTCGATCAGTGGCGTACTTTTTGGTAGG